CCACATAATGCTTATGAATTACAGTAATATTGAGGTATTTCGCACAATATGAGCATATGGCAATAAGAGATTGATCAATTACAGTCCTAAACGTCAATAGGAAGAATAAAAAAAATACAATACGAAAATGGGTTCTCAAATTGATTTATTTTCAAAATAATGTTATATTTAGATCGCATTGTAATACACTTTTAAAATAGTTGATCATTTTTCCAAAAAAAGGTATTTACGTTGAATATAGTTTGTGAAGTAGACTATGGAATTCAGTCAATCCTAATAGGTTGACTGTATATATATAAACCTCAGTAATGTAAAATAGTCTGTTTTAAAAATGCATAACAGATTGTGTGTTCGGTACATTTTAACTTGTTATGTTTTAACACCCACTAGTATGAATGTAATATTGATTCGAATCATTTAGAACACTTTTTTTTAATGTCTAAATGGCATGTATCTTGTTGAATATGTATATCATAAATATATTAAACCAGTGAATATTTTACCATATTTTTTAAAAGAGGTATAGTAAAATTTACCAGGTCATATATACGGTTCTAATTTAAACATACAGACTGACTAAATGTTAACCAATTTCATGGTGTATTTCATGAATTTTACCAATAATGTGACAACTTTGTTTTACTACATTTAACTAAATGATTGACGTTTCAATCTAAATCTCCGGTTTATAACCAAAATTTATAATGAGTTTACCATGATTTATAAATAGTTTTAAATGATAGAGAATTAGAGCTAAAATGTATGGATTTGATGGTGTTGTGTTCTCTGAGTTATATGACTTAGATATAAACGTTTCACTATATAGTTCTAAGGAAAATTACTAGGACTTAATTCAAGCAGAAATGATATTTTCTAATCTGGCCACATGGGGAAAACTAAGCCCTTCTGATGACCTTTTGCACTGTTTCATTCTTTTTCGCAACAGTAGAGTCTATTCGGTTTATTTCTTCATCTAGTTCAGAGAACTCATATATACATCTAAATACGAAATTAGAGTAATATCTGTTGTTAGTCCCTCTACTTTTGTATCCTTTGCTAAGGTGGAGTTAAAACTCGAAACTTACATTCCAATGTTAAAAGTCAGTAATCATAATCAGTATTTGATCATAGATAACTTTATATCATTCATCAGGTAAGTTGAGTACAGAGCAACAGAAGCTCATTGATTAATTTCTACGTAAGTTCAGCAACATACATGTTAAATTAGAGATCTTTGTACTCAATTGATAAATCTTTTGTATTTAGAAGCAACTAGTGTTAATTGTTAGTCTTATTAGAGATATCATAAATTATATTACACTAAAAGGTTGAATGTTGAACAAATCTTTTAATATTTCCTTCACTTTTGTCCACTAGTATAGCGCGAAAATATTCAGTTACCAATCCATTTACTTATCAAAATGCAACGTTTTTTTAATCACAGTTATACTTTGCTGACAAGTTCAAAATAGCGTGCAATCCAGTTTCAGGGCTTCCTGTCGATTAGCACTAAGTGCCATCTTAAATTTTAGAATTATTTTAAATAACTAACCGAAATATGACAAAGCACTCCTTTTTTTATTCAGAAATGATTATGTGAATAGATTTGTCTACATTGATGTAATTACTGCTTTCAACTATAGTTCCCAACTAAGCAGTATATATAAGGGTTTGGAGCACATAGTGATGCCTAATCTTTCTAATAGAACATTTTATATGCTTCCCTAATAGATCAAATTTTAATAAATTTCTATATTGTGTGATATCTTTCATGTATTCTTACTAATAAAAAAGGTTGATACAATTACCAGTTAATGAATAATATGAGAAGAAATACAATTATTATTTTATCATTTTATACATAAAAAGGTTAAATATTATACTGGATCTTAGTATTCATTGTAATGTTTAACTCTTAGTTTATTCAAATTCTATAAAGATCTATTATATTTGAATGATATACATATTCTAGTCGGACACTTTATTATTACTCACCATAGTTTAACATAACTATTAAAATGTATACAACAAGTAAATTATATAACCTTCAAGTTTTAAATTAACATTCATTGTCAAAGAAAAACAATGAAAAGTAGAAATAGTGAATATTTAAAGCTTCTTTCATACAAAACATTGACATGATCATGAAATGCATAACACAAAATTCATTTAAATGTAAATGTTTTGCTTTTTGATTACGCTCGTATAAGTTATTTCTGGTAGACAAATTCTGACAACCATATTATTAGGCATCATTAGTTGCTTTTTAAAAATCAGCATGAAAATTCTATAATACTTCTCCTTTTTATTGACTTTAACTTGATAGTCCTTATTGTTCATATTGGAAATAAAGTATCTCAGGTTAAGACTAGAAATTTATAAAAAAACACAACCTACTTTAATGGCTATCAACTAGTAGTAGAATACTCAGTCGAAGAACGTATTTATTTGAGTTACAAAAATATCTATTTGGATGAGGGTCAATATACTGAAAATGCAGGTCATAAACAGTTTCTTGCTGAATTTCGTTAGATATTTAACGAGTTAATAATCCAATCGGATTTCATATCAGTAAGGCTGTAACTGAAAATGTTGAGTTAATCACATTTTTGTCAGTACTGAATAATGGACAGAGTGATGGTAATTAGTCTTTCAGTACTCGATTACTCCACCAGTAGCTCTTCTACAGTTAATACTGGTTCCAAGCCTGGGTAAAGGAGGACTGTTAGACATGGGGTCGGAAACACCATCCTGTAGAAAACAACCTTAATAAAAAAATCGCTAATCAGAATAAATAATTTAAACTCTGCCCTCCGAGTTCAAGGGAGAATTATGACGACTGATGAGGAAAGCTAAGATTCTTCAGAAGTCACGAGGATGATACTTCTTCTAACAACCAGGGCAACGATTAACGTAGAGATGTGGAACTTCCGGACAATTTGGGAGACCGGAAGGACCAGTCAAATAGCAACGGATATGAGGAGATACAATTTGTCGGTTCTCGGAAACAGCGAAACCCATTGACCCCAAGATAGACAGCAAAGGCTAGATAAGGGAGAGATGCTGCTGTACTCCGGTCACGGAGTGGAAAATGCTCCACATACTCAGAGAGTTACTCTGATGCTATCCAAACAAGCATGCAATGCACTTATAGGATGGGAATCTCATGGATCCTAAGTAATCAAAGCAACCTTCAAAACAAAAAAGGAGGGAATCACGATGAACGTTATCCAATGTTATGCACCTACCAATCATAGCAACGACGACAATAAAGAATAGGTGCTGGTTTCAAGAAGCATCATCATTAGGAAGGGATCTCTGGGGAAACCGTGGGAAAGATTCAAGAAAGGAAACTGAAGAAGACAGCAGTCAACAGCATTCGAAAAAGAACAGGGAAAGTCAAGGCACAAGCTAAATACATAGAAGCAAACAAGCAAGTGAAGTAGATCAATAATGGCGACAACCAGAAATACATGGAAGACAGAGAAACGACAGTGAAATAGGCTGAAGAATGAGGAAATATATGACAACTATATGATACAACGAGGGAAGTAACAGGAAAACATAGTGAATCATAGCAACCAGTCAAAAACAGGGAAGACAAGTCAATCACTAAAATTCAATAACAGAGGAACAGATGGTTAGAATACTTTGAGAAACTCTTAAACAAACCAGCTCCACTGAACGCACCGGAAATCAAAGCAGCACCCACGGACCTCTCTATAGATATCACCCTACCAAAGATCGAAATAATCAGGATGGCCATCGGACAAACCAAGAAAGGGAAAGCAGAACGACCTGACAATATACAGGCCGAAGCAATAAAGTCAGACATAGAAGTAATTGCAAACATTCTTCACGTTCAATCCAGGAAGATTTGGGAGAAAAGTCAAAAGCCAACAGACTGGAAAGAAGGACACCCCATCAAGATACCAAAGAAAAGAGATCTGAGCAAATGTGAAAACTACACGGGCGTCACACTACTGTCAGTACCAAGAAAGGTTTTCAACAGATTGTTGCTGAACCGGATGGAAGACTCAATAAATGCCCAACTTCGAGGTCAACAGACTGGATTCCATAGTGATCAGTCATGCACAGACCAAATTGCGACACTACGGATCATTGTTGAACATTCGTTTGAGCGGAACCCGTCACTATACATCACCTTCATTGATTATGAAAAGGAATTCGACAGTGCGGATAGGTGGACCATATGGGTCGTTCTCCGATACTATGGAGTACCTGAGAGAATGGTCAACATCATCCGGAGTTCATACGACTTACTACACTGCAAAGTCGTGCATGGAGGACAGTTGACAGATGCATTGAAAGTGAGGACCGTAGTCAGACAAGGCTGTATACTCTCCCCCTTCCTCTTTCTTCCTGTGGTCAACTGGATTATGAAGACCTCGACATCTGACGGGAAGTATGGAATACAATTAACAACTTGGACTCAGCTAGACGATTTGGACTTCGCAGATGACCTGGCCCTTCTATCCTAGCATTTATAAACAATTGTCTACGCAAGATACTCTTCATCCATTAGCCGGATACCATCAGTAACACCGTTCCATGGAAAAGGACAAACCAGCTTCTAGCTGAGGAGGAAGTTAGGAAAACACGTTGGAACTGGATAGGACATACATTACGCAAATAATCAAACTACATCACCAGACAAACCCTAACTTGGAATCCTGAACGGAAACGGTAAAGAGGAAGGTTAAAGAATACATTGCATCGGGAATGGGAAGCAGATATTAAAAGGATGGATAGAAACTGGAAAGAACTGGAAGGGATTGCCCAGGACAAGGTTGAATGGAGAGTGCTGGTGAGCGGCCTATGCCCCTCCATGAGTGGAACAGGCATAAGTAAGTACTCGATTATTAGAGTATGATTTATATCCACAAATCAAATTATTTGACTTCTAGGTATTATTTATAACCTCTAATACTTTTATTATTTACGGTACTAATAAATTATATTTTGTTTCTGTAAAACAGATACACATAGAACTAATTCATATCAACCAGTTCAATCACTGTGTGGTGAGATAAAAAAGTCTTCAAGTACAGCAACACTACTACCCACGTGGTAAGTAGTACCTAATTATTTAACTAAAAATGTTTATTTATATATACAGTGAATAAATTATCATCTATTGAATTAAGTTAAAGTATCGTTTCGTTCAGCAGCCCAAAAGAACTACAAAGAGTGAATCTTATAATATTGACTCAGTTTTACCTTATTACCGCAGGTGTTATTCAGTTTCCTTACTCCTATATGATAAGTGCTAATTAAGGCATTCAGTAGATCCATCGCTGAAAGTAGCTGATGACAAAAACTTTGTTTGAATATTAATATTAACTTGGCAGCGATTACCCAAATCCGACTAGACAGTTGTAACTGGTGACAAATGAAACCAGTTGAACTAAATGATCGTGAGTGCGTACAAGTGCATTTCAACTCCTTGGTCTAATTGAATTTTACCAATAAACCTATGTGACCTGACTTTTCCTCCATATCTTAGAGAGTTGAGAACCATGACCAAATATCAGTTTAATCCTACTTATTTTTTGATAAATTTCCTAAAGAAGTGATAGGTGACAAAAAATGGATATATCTGATTTTCTCTTAAACTAAATTCGAAAACAAGTGAACTACGTGGGTTGAAGATTTTTACTATTGTGGATTATAACGTTTTTACTGTACTTTTGAATTTTCTATGATGACTCGTTTTAGTCCAAGAAGACTGAGGTTAACAATAAAAAATTATAGTGTTCACTTGCACCAACTAAGTTGTATTTACACAGTTAAATATTTGAATTATAAAGAAAGAACGGGAATTAGTATCCATCTTGTCAAGGATTTCATTTATAGACGTCCTTAGTTCTCAAAACTTGTTTATGTAGCTATTCAATTTTCCATTCTGTCATGTATTTATCATCAGATTTTAAAATTTCAAAATAAGGTCAGATTAATTGTGAATGTGAACACTAAAGAAAGTTTAGTGATATTTATATAATTACCTAAATCATTAAAACAATCGTTCAATGTTTAGTTTTAATAAACAAGATAATCACTGGTTCATTGTGAACGAAATGATTGAACTGGTATTTTTTAATATAGAATACATTCATAGCATCAGAATGAAAACTATTGAAAATAGAAGACGTAGAGTCATTTTACACTTGTTTATTACTTCACATAAACTTTCGTTCCGAAATAAACACCGATTAGCACAGTTACTATAATGAATATTAACAAATTTTTCGTTAATGGCTAATTTTTAGACATGGATCCCGCAGTTCTAGCGGAATAAAACAGCAATCCAGTTGTCCGGAAAGCTGGTGGGAACCTTACAATCCAACAATTTAACTCAGGTCAAATATTGTAAAAAATATCAGATCACGTCACAAATCTTTTTCATAATTTCATACTGTGATTTATATGTTCACCTTTCTCTTATAACACAAACATACTCTCTAGTAAATAATTTATCTCAATAATTTTAAATCTTCATTTAGAAAGTTTTGCACATGAGTTAATTACCCATATAACAATATAGATATCAATGATAACTTGAAACTTATCAATCTAATTGTATAAAGTTACCTTAAAGAAAAAAAACGATGTATATGTGTTGGGATGTAAATGTTTTTGCAAAATCCCATGTAACACATATATGCTGACGAGATATCTATAAGTAGAGCTAAGTTTTAATATATACTAAAAAACTAATGTGCTTTCTAATTCATAATAAATATAAATTTCATCTAAACATTTAGGCATACATTATCACAGAAAAATCCCAATGTAAATTCAGATGAAAATCATATTAATCTACATAATAGTCAAACAATCTTTACAAAAAAGGACAATACCTCTGATATACAACATAATTCCACTGTTGAAAATAAAAGTAATCAAGAAAAATATCATACAAACTCTTTGATTCCGTATGAAATGAATTCAATCAATCCACCGTTATCGATAGACAATAAGGTAAACAATAATTTTCACATAATTGAGAAACAAAAAAACTTATTTCTGTTGTTTCTTCTATTTTTAAGCTGCTAATTATTCTCATGATAATGTATTGTTTAAGATTTAAGCTTATAGAAGGGTCACAATTTTTATTAAATAAATGGAGCTTTTGTTTGAACGTTAGACATTTTCACATGAACTGTTCATTCGATCATTTACTATACTGGATATTAGATCCAGATGTTTTAATGGATATAAGCAATCTCTGGTTTATTTAAAGTCTTATCTAAAGTAAGTCTCCAGCTAAGAATTAAGTCAGCTTTTAGATGGCACAATTTAAAAATAGGAAGTAGACTACAATTTATAACAAGTCTTGAATGAATGCTATTTTTGCTGGAAAGTGAATTGAAAATAAAATTAAATCTTAACAACACACTCGTATGAATAACAACTAAACAATTTTCTTCGCTCGATTCGTTTCTTCTTAATTTCTCATACATCTTAGAAATTAGGTTAACTTTTGTGAGGACGGTCCATGGGTGAACTCGAGAAGCTCAGAAAGAGCCGAAGATATTCTATCCAATCATCTTTTGGAAGAGTATTCCCTACGTGTAGCTTCCCTATTGGACAAATGCTAATAACCCCTTGTGTGGGGATTGGATGACTATAATGATGATTTGGTTTTTACTAAAAACTATAAAAACCCGAAAGTTGTGCACCATAATCGACACTGGAATAGCATTCCTTTCACTTGTCTTCTGTCTCATCATTCGCGACTTGTGAGTGTTCTAGCGTTCAAGTGTACACGTCACACTCGGTATATTAAGATTCTAAGCTCTAGATATTTTTAGATATTTTTCTGATTTGATTAAATTTATCTGTAAATTAAAATTCATCATAACTACTTTTGGCATTACACATGGTAAATTTTGAATAATTTTAACTTCTATTCTACTATCTTTGTAGTTTATAAAAAATAAATAAATAAATTTAATAGTCAATTAAAGCAAGACCACTTTAGAAAACCTGGAAGCACTGGATGGGGTTCGAGACCTGCATGCTAGACCGTGGATGCGTACTGCTGAAGAGTCGCATACTGGAACGAAACGGCCATCCAGTGCTTTCAGGTTTTCTAAGGTGATCAAGGTTTAATCGACTCATGAATTCGATTTTTAAATTAGAAAAATCTCCATAAAATTATTTTCTGAAAATCAATAAATCTCAAGAAAGTATTTGATGAACTAATTTATTTACTTATTCTTAATGAAAAGTTCAATTGTCAGTGAAAAAAGCAAGAAATCAGACGTACATCGCTGTAGTTAAGATACTTTATTCCTCTACATAAGTCTTGTTCATGTCTTGAAATTCTATCAAACTGTTTTTGGAAATTTATTCCTTAATAACATAATGATACTGAATCACTGGTTATATATATCAATTACTTCTATGAGTAATTTACTTTTAACATCAAAATTTCTACGTCAAAAATGATAATAGATTGACCAGATTGTTTTTCTTCTTACTTTTGCATGTAAAATATAATAGTTCTAAATTTTAATTTTATAGAGTAGGGATTGTTTACAATCCATTAGTTTAATGAATGTCTCTAATGAACCATATCAGAATGATTCCGTTTATTGAATAATCAATCGATGAAAGGATGTTATTATTCCGAGAAATCTTGTGAATCAAGAAAAATAAACAACTTAAATCATAAAAAAATACAGTAAGACCATTGATTTACAAATGCACATGTTAAATATACACAACTTCTAACTTTTTTTGTCTTACTTCATCCAAATTTATTCATTATTTCAGTTCAGATAAAGGGTGTTGTTAATTAGTTCATTGATTATCCTTCAAAAAAATTATTACAAAAGATTTCGTTCACTATTTCAAGGGCTTTAAATCAACAGGTAATAGTAAATCTTCTTTGACTGGTGAACCCTTTTAAATGAGGAAGTATTCTATACCTGGTTGGAGACTAATCGATAATGGTTAACCACAATTCAGTCAGGAAACGAGATTAGAACCTTTAAGTGTCGTAACATTCATTCAATGAGTCAGTATCTGAAGGTTCTGAGTTTGTTCTTCAGTTAGATCGTAAGTGCGCAATACTATGAAAATTTGAATTAAGAGGAAGCAGCTATTTAAAACTAATTTGTTTTGAATGATTTGCGAGATGCAGAAAGATTATGTTGAAAACTATCTCTTAAACAATTAAATATTCACTACAATCAATCATCTACAATTGAGTAGTTTAGGAAAAGCGTGTAACACTGAATAAATGATAAATAAATATATTTCTCGGTTTTACATGCGCTTGAGAATAATAACGATAAACATCTGAATGAACTTTCGACATAATAATTTGATAGGGTTAAGATTATGGTGAATAAAAGAACGATAGATTAAGATTTGTTTGTTTTAACAAACTAGGTTTAAAAAGTCGTTAACCTTAATAATTAATCAATAACATCATAGAAATGACTAGAATACTGTAAATGTATCAACAGTCATTAAATCACTACACTAGTTTCTATAGGTCAGCTTCTGGATAATGAAATTGTTATTTTATTAAGTTAACTAAAAACGACTATCCTTATGTCACAACCTGAAAAAAAATTTGAAATTACTTGAGCGAAATTTAATATAGAATAAATTTTACACTACACTAAATCGAGTAGTCACATAAGACTGAGCTCAGATTTCTTAGATCTCCTAATTAGTAAGATATCATTGGGTTACTAGTAAGAAGATACAATCTAAGATTAAATTATTTTTAAATATCCTATGCTTGTCAATAATTAATCACACAATAACGATTTGTAATGAAATGTTATTTCAAACTGAATAAAAAAGCGGAAAAAATCACCTACCTACTAGTTCACCGTCTAGTTTGGAAATAATTGTCAGTCGATTTTATTTGCAACTAGGACGATTGAAATTAATTATTATTCAGTAATTATTTAATAAATTCATTATGACTAACTTATATTTGTGTTTACAAGCTAGTTATTTAGAATAGCTTAACGGTTGGGAAATAAAGTTAGTAATACGGTATATCACAGTGTAACTTTATCTTATCTGTAACATTCTACACTATTTTTACGTTGTATTGATTATTGTTGTACATTTCAGCAATGATAAAATATTTAATGAAATTCATGGTAAATCAAAATTACCTCCTGTTACGTATGATCATTCAATCAAAACTATTATTCCTTCTGTCAACAGTATTGATCAGAATGTAAATAAAAAGTCTGATTTTATCAATAATGATTATTATCCACCATTTCATAGTCGATTGTCATGTGAAATACGTCAAAATGAACAATATCTTGACCGTAGTATAACTTCACAATCATTTTCTTTGAAAGGAAGATGTGATCACTTGAAGGGAGATATTAATCAGGTTAACGAATGTGTACAAATATCTGGTATAACCCTCAACAAGGAAGAAGTAAGCCGTAGTATTAATTAAAAATATTATTATTACCATTAGTTCAATTTAATAAAGCTTGATGTTTATATGAAAATACATAATATAAATCTGGTCATATAATATTGAAGCAATCTACAAACCAGGCTATTTCAATTGTGAATTCATTAATATTGTAAGAAATTTTACAATATAATAGAATTCGAAACAACAAAGTATAATTATTCCGGATAACTTTTTAGAAATTTAACTAACAAAAGATATGGTCCCACTTTTTGATTACAGTTTTACTTTTCCTCAATTACCATTTTCTAAAAATAACTATACATTCAAATATTTTTCATTTCATGATGTCACTGACTTTAATACGTTTTGTTCAAATGCATAACACCATAACTTGGTCATTTTAAATAACCTTTTAAGCAAATCTCAAGTTTGTTAAAAATCGCGGTTACTCAGATCAAAATAAAAGTATAAAGTAAATGCTGACGGAATACGAGGAGCCTGAAAATTTGATCAGATAGTAGATTTCTTGAGTAGTGTATAGTTTATTAGGTTTGAGTAATGAATTGGTGTATATGAATTTATATATATATGTATAAGCCACCATAGTATTAATAGTGTTAACCTGCCTATTTTATTCAATGCAGAAGTACTAAGATCCTAATTTGTTTTGCATCAATTTGATCTTTTATGCTTACTCATTAGATCATGGCAATCATTAATGAACGCGATGAATTGTATGAGATATTACGAGTTAATGAAGAGGAGGCTAGTGAACGTTATTCTACAGAAAAACGTCTAATGAGTATCAAACAAGAATTTACCGTCGAACAGCAACGTTTAAGACAAATTATCACTGCATTAGAAGAGGTAAAAAAATCAAATAATGAAAAACAGTTTACATCTTTTTTAAACTTTTTATATTCAAGTCTTTATTCACTTGATGTCTAGATTTCATTTTCCGCAGGTAGAAAATCTAAATTAGTTGTTTATTTGAATGTTTTCGATTATGATTTTTCTCCGAACAAAATTTCGAAGAATAAAATTTGTGGCAGGCATTATGCTCTTTCCAATTATTTAGCATAACTATGATGAATGACATAATTTTAGTTTAGGACGTTACAAAAAACAGGATTCGACTCATCGAAGAGATTTCATAATAATTAATTATAAACAAATATAAAGGAAATCTATTCAATAGCTAGTGACAAGATCGTAAATGATCATCGATAATTTTCATCCCTAATTTATAGGTAAAAGACTGTTAAAAATTAGGTATTATTAAGGTAGCGACTAGATTTGGAAAGAATATTCATAGTTATTCTCAGAGTCTTTGCTTATTAGATTTCATTCATGGTAATTGTGAAACAAATATTAAATGTGTTAATGCATTGTGTTTAGCATGAAATCCGATGACCATGCTTTTGATTACTTTAGAATTTGTGAATAATTTTTTTATCGATTTAGAATCTAGGATGAAATAGGTACTTGATTTATCATGGTCTCCATTTGTCCACTAGAAGATGGCAGTTTAAGATGAAAACTATAGTGCATGTCTTTATTACTATTGTCCTTCTGAATTATGTGATAAAATAAACTAAATTCGTCTTATTCTGTGAACAGTTTGTTATTATTACTTTGGTAAAAGCAACCTCTAGCATTTGATGCTATATTACTACCTAGTATTTTTATTTTCCGCTTTTTTACTTTGTAGAATTAGAGGTCACAATGTGTCGTCTTAATCAGTTAACTGCTGAAAGAAGCAAATGGACAACTGAATTAGATGAAACAAAAAATGAAAGGAATGAAATGAAAGAGAAATTGAAAAATACAGAAGAAAATCATAAAGTTGAATTGATGGAAATGGAAAATGTTTGTTTATTATTATTGTAGTTACATTCATGTTTTGTGTTGGCACAAACTGTCCGTAGTAAGAAATTTTAATGAATTTGTGCACCGATTTTTATGTTTTGGGATATTCAAGCTAGTATTCATCAGTGATTCAATAACTGTTTAGAAAATGATGTTTAATGTTGGTCCAAAAACGTCATTCTATAATACCATGTATGAAAACCAGGAAACACTGGGTAACTGTTTTTTCTTAGAAGAGGACTCCACATTAGTGTCATCTGCAACCCTTCCGACGGATCGAAAATAAGCTACTCATATTTCATGATGAGAAGTTGACCTTCAGATCACTGCATCGGAAATTAAAAATTTACAATTCTAACACAAATTCATTCGCAATATTTAGACATAATGTGATCCAGTGAACTAAATGTTAAGCACTCTGCAAGAGACCTGAATGTCGTAAGTTTGATCCTTGATAAGGTTGTCAATGGGTGTCGTTGATCATTCCTAAAATACAACAAAATATCTGTTCAGTACTTCCTAGTTTTCAGTAATTGTCTAACTAAGGTCAATCATTTGATGTCAACTATAAAATTCAACAATCTTCACAAACCCTCTATCTCATTGTTTAGTTTATGTTAGCAAATACAGATGTTAATGAGATTATTTCTACTTAAAACATCTTAATCTAATAGCAATGTAATAAATAAATAAAATTCAGGATTAACCACAGTTAATCTCAGCCACAAGTAGTATTAGTTTCATATTGACAAGTAAACTATAATCAAAATCGGTATTAAAATAATAATGAATAAAATGTAATTTTATTTATCATATTCATAAAGGCATATCAAGAGAAGTTAAAACAAATGAAATTAGATGAAATTAAAAACTCTGATATTATAACAAAAGAATATGAATTAAAAATAAATCATTCTATCAATGAACAAATACAACAAACTACTGAATTTGAAGAGAAATTACAAAAATTAAATAAAACAATTAAAGAAATGGAACAAGAGAAAGAAAATTTAAGGTAAACATTCTTTCTTATTTACATATAGATATAGATATATTCATGAAAGATAAATTGTTACAGGTCACAGTTCCTGAAATGATTCAGGTCATCAATTTTTAATTTGATTCACATTGTTATTCTAATCAAACATATAGATAAATAGAGAGAGGGATTTTGTAGAGACCTTAGTAATTTAATAGTTGAATTTATGAGTCAATTGAAGCTAGACCACCATGGAAAACCTGGAAGCATGGATAGCCGTTTCGTCCTAATATGAGACTTCTCAGCAGTGCTCATCCATAATCCCTCTTGTGAGATTCGAACTCAGGATCTATCGGCCTCGTGCGCAAACGCACAACCTTTAGTTCACTGAGCTGGCATAAAATGGTGTTAATGTCTAACTTTAACCAATTGACGAAACTGTACCACAGATGTTGTTGATTTAACAAGTATGAGAAAATGTAGTAATAATAATGAATTGCTAAAAAACATTAACAACCTTATTACCACTTATAAAAAATTAGGTTTCAGTGATAGTGATGGCTTGCAGCTATCTCTTTTGCACCCAGAGCTTACGTTTAAAAGTATGAATGGCTAACGCTTTTAAGTTTTATAAGTTATCGGTTTACATTCCACTTGAACCAAATCATTTGATGATTTTGAAGAAAATACCAAGTGATGTTACGTGACCAGAGTTCATGAAATGTCCAACTATTCCACTAACTAGTTCTTTGTTTCATTTTCTAAATTGAAGAAATAAGTCTCAAGGTGTCATCGTTAGTCCAAACTTTAGAATCAGGTGAGCTCTTAAAATGTATCGACAAGTGATTAACAGTTTGTTTTGTCCAAATGAAATTTGAACGATTTTTTTCATAGTTATGATGTTACTAATTGCACGTTTATTTTGATTACCTTTTCTTTATTTTTTTATTTTTGGCCTTGTGATTCTATTACTTGTTTCTGTGAAAAATAGTTTAGGTTCATAGATTTACTAGATTAGATATCGGTTGTATTGTTAAACTGTCATGGAAAAAAGAACGAAACATTTACAAGAATACAAACTGCAAATTAGTATGCAATTTTAATCTTGCATTCTAGCATCTCAACAATTTATACCACTATTTATTTGGTGGTAAAGAGCACTAACATTAACATTTTAAAATAATTGATCCTATTTTACAGCAAGTGTGAAAGTAAATATGCTAAAAATTGTTATTATTCATTCGAGTACAGTGAGTTTATAGAATATTGTAACAAAATTCAAACACTCTACTCAAAAATAAGTGATGAGACATGAAAGCTCACTAATTACAAATAACTATTAATCAATCTGGTAATTCTTCAAAATCCAACTCAATTCATTTTGTTAAACTATTCACTATGTTTCATCAGGGTTTACTATATATGGTCTAATGTAGTGTTAGTCATTAGTTTTAGCCCATAATATATCTTATTCTAGTTTTCGGACATTCCATTCTATTCATTCTACTTGAGTCATATTTTGACCTTGTCAATTATTCGCTTATTAGTCTTGACTGTTTTTATATGAGCGTATATGTGTGCGACCTTCTTATTCCATCAATCACATGTCTGTAGCTTTATTTTGTCTGACTATAAATATTGAGTGACGCTTGACTAAAAATGGGGTTGACTTCCCAGCCATCTTCTATACGTGTCATTTTGGTCTGTTCTATTACATTCACTTTACATACAAAATATATGTATTCAAAGGCCATTCTCGTTAATTGACTTATCTAAATTCCGTTATTGACTAACACTACACTAAACTCATATTTTTCTAACGGTATAAGTTTAAGTGATATACAAGTTTAGAGAATGGTACAAAACTACCAAAACGTCAAATGAAAATGTAAAACCTAGTGTTGCCTTCATTGTTTGTCGTTTTTTTTAATTCCTTCGTCTATCTCTTAAAACTTAATCTTAAGTGAAAAGGAATCAAATAATGGCTGTTTTTGTAGGTGGTTAACAATACAGAGTAATGAAGAAGAAGAATAATAAGTCTTTCAAATCGAAATATCTTTAAACATTTGTGTAAAAACATAACTCAGTTAATCCAACTTCTAACTTAATTTGTTGAAGGGAATTGTATAAATCGCATCTGTATGAAATTGACATTAGCAATAATAATAATAATAATAATAATAATAATAATAATAATAATAATAATAATAATTAAAACGTATATTTTTTAATAATCAATGGAATAATAGACATGAAAATATGGAACTAATGAAAGAACACCGTGAAAGAGAAAGATTAATTCGTAGTGAATATGAAGAGATTCTAGAAAGTAAATCTGTTGAGAAAGTAAGTTCAATGTTTTCCAATAGATTAAATTATTGATTATCATTTATAATTCATTTTATTAACTACAATTCATTTTATAATGCTTAGTATAATTTCCAGTGGAATTTGAATACAAGTTTTAATCTTGATTAGAAGAACAATGAATAACATTCATATAAGCCATTTTATTACATTTTCTTTATCTTCACTAGTGATTATATGATTTAAGTTGTCAATCAAAAAGATAAAAATGTGTAATCTAAGAAGTTAGGATAATTTGATAGTCATTTCATCCAATAATGGTGATATAACAATATAGTCTAAATCAAAGATGTATTTTGTTCGCATTATCTTTAAATGAAGAAAAACGAAACACATTACTTTATTATTCATATCATATTGTCAAATGTTTTACATCTATGTCATTCGTAAATATACATTTTACAGTATTTTCCACACTGCTTAAAACATACTCTGCCAGTAATTAGCACTGTGATCATCCAAAGAATCATGTAAACTATTTAATACATAATTCAAATATATTTAAACAGTTGAGATCATAAGTCAATTGAAGCTAGACCACCGTGGAAAATCTGGAAGCACTGGACGGCCGTTTCGTCCTATATTATCTGCAAAGTTAATTTAACCATATTGTAATGCCTTCATCCTAAAGTATAAGTATAATATATTTTTCATTTGAAGGTGAAGTTTCTAATATTTAGATTAAATTTCTTGACTCACAAATACTACAGTAGTTTTTGTAGAATATATTATTAATCAAAATACACTCACGGATATAATTTACAAAATGTACTTATTGGTCATTGTAATGCATTTTTTCTATGAAATTAATCAAAATAATTTATTTCATATACCCTTATTAACTTTTTTCTATAAACCTTTCTATTAGATGAATTATAATTATTCCCGATATGACACTTGGCAAAACCTCTGTGGATGATATTCTTAGTAGACAGTGAAATTTCAGCTCAATGAAAGCAAACTTAACTATATATTATCTATTTATTTTACCGCATAGATATTGGTACAACGAGGCACCAACTACATATGCGCCACACAAATCTCATTTAATATGTGTGAGGGCTGTGATACTTCCCAGGTGCCCAGACCAAAGCACGTGGTTTTCTTAGGGTCCACACCCGGAGCCTTCGACCTAAAGGTCTGATCCATAAGGCAGTGGAACATTGTCAGGAGATGCAGTCCCATGGTAGCCGGTGACCAAAGATTGGTTCGTACGCCATTTGTTCCTCTAGGATACTGTAGCCCATGTGCACCATTGGTTTGAAATCAGGATTTTCCAACTTCCCTAGGTGGACTCTCCATGTCCACCAACCCGATTAAAGCGCCGGAATCCGCTTTTCGTCCTCTCAATTTCGTAAACAACACCCCCGCCACGAGAAGGCAGTGGGTAGGACTTCCCTATCAGAGGCTACATACGTGTGGCCATGTGAAAGCAATTCGAGAGGGAGAGCGGACTCTCCCCACTCTCGGCCGTACCAGTGCATTTGGGGGCATAAGAAATTTAAGCACCTGCTTTCTGGTTGTAAATCGATTGTTTCCAATATGAATTGCCGTTGGTTACTTAGTTATTAAAAACAGGATTAAACTTACGTAATGTATAATATATCAACCCACTGGTATGAGTAATGTCAAACAATAATACATAGTTAGTAAAATTTATCAACTTTTTGTGATTGAAGAATGGTCAGTATTCATTTATATCGCGAAGTACACCACTAAAGTAAAGTATTTTTTAAAAATTATTCAAACATTTGTTTTTAGTTATAATGGATTGTTTTACTGAAAAATAACATCAAATCTATTCAGTACGAAAACGAAATCTTATACCTAATATGATTATCGTTTGATATTATTCAGTAATTTAGATCGGTAACCAAGATGTCATAAATAAGCAATGTACCTCTTAATCAAAGTTCTGAATATATATAAAATGATACAATCAAATGAAAGATCAAATGTAAACTTTGTGAAAACTTGTAACAAATGAATTGTTATAATACATTTTTTAATAAAGATATTTTTTTTAACTAAAATTCAGACTAATTTATTCTATTCAGATCAAATTCATTGATTTTGAAATTGTATTTATTTACTGGTATTAAAGATAGTAAGTTCTTGGACATTTTTATTGCTTCGAGCAATAAATAAATCTTGTCTTTCCGTAAGATTTTCATTTGGATGCATACATGACATTAGTAGGTCTTATTAATCAACTTAATTTTAGTTATGGATTTTAGTTCAATTCGACGAAAACTTTCTTCACATTCAACTGGTTCTCACAAATTACTAAAATAAATGATGGTAATATAATCATTCAGGACTAACTTGGAAATGGATTAATGAGAAATGGGAATAGGTAGATTGTAAATCTTTCATGAATTAAACAATCATATTATCGATAAGTAATGAATAATAGTCATAATGTATCAATAATCAAGTGAAATTCTAAATAAAAACAACTGGATTCCATTTCATTCGGCTAAAGTTTAAGTTCATGTTTGGAAGTCTGAATAATTCTAACTCAATTCACGATGAAGTTATGAGTCTACACTAATCAAGAGTCTTAAACTAAAAAGAAACAGTTTTCCAGATCACAATGAAAACTCTCTTCACATGAATAAATTACTTTAAATATTGGCAAAGATTAGAAAAATCCATGTATAAAATTAACTATAATGTCGTGAGTGATTTTTATAAACGACTAATATCAACCCAATGACTCATGAAAATCAAAATAAACTAGACAGTTATTTTATTCAATTTTAGGAGTTTTGTGACTGAACTACCTCATCCAAGTTCTGATTTTGATAGACCTTCATTTACTCTTAGATTATATTGGCAATTTATTTAAAGTACTTTAAAACATAGCAAAATATAACAATAATAATTTGATTTATTTTTATTATTATTTTCATTTTAATAAAAGAGTAAGGAAATATCTAAATTAATGGATGTTCATTCTGTTCAATTAAATGAATTGGTTGAACAAATGCAAAAAGAAAAAATTCAAGCTATCAACGAGATTAGATCGTGTTATACAGAAAATATTGAAGAATTACAAAATAAATTACTGGTAAATCTTACTATTTATAAGTAAAATGTATGTGAGTGTAAGTACGTACGTCCTGTGGTTGGTTTTGTTTCAAAAGCATATCATTTAACATTAGTAATATAAATGGTTTATGTCAATCATTTTATCAAATAATGATTAATATTATGTTGTTTAATCCCCTGGATGGATAGAATTTTATTGATTAACTAACTTATAATTTTAGTTTACTTTGTTAGCAAATACTAGGTTTCAGTCTAAGAAATACATTGGTTTGAAGATAGATATTAGTGATGGTCGTCAATCAACAATTTGAATGAATAATTCTAGTACATCTTTCACAATCATAATATAATATGAATAAACTAATACTTTAATAGCTTATTTATTATGTGAAGTCATTTAGTTCTTACTACTAAGTTCTCACTACATAAGTCATAATGATCTAACCAAATGACCTTTGAAGATATAAAAATATAAGTCCAGCTCATATTATTAATGATACAGAACCAACATTTTGAGTTATTTTAACACAATTTACATAGGACTAAATTATGTTCAATGAAGCCCTAATTTTTGAGCAATAAATCAGTGAAACTATATTAGTTAATGGTATAAACCATAAATTGAATAACCTATAAATGAACATACTGTTTAACGTTCTTCCTTTATGATTGATTTGTGACAAACATAGAAAATAAATAGTTAATTTTCTTATTTCTTATATCAGTTATTGAAAACCCTATAGTGTTTCAATAGTATACAAAAAAAATTCACAAGTGTAATCATATTAATGGATATTAAACTGTAGATAGAACTCACATACTGTTGGGTACGTTAGATCCCCAAAACTCATATTTTGTAATTTTATCTTTGTGGAGTTTGTATGCAGATGTATGCTTGGGCATTTCTTACCACTCACGCACATAGTCGATTGACGAACTTATCGATTAAATGTTTAAAAACTTCCATGGCAATATCGATCATACATATTTTGTATAAATACGCTTGATTTGTGTGCTTGATGGACCTGGTATCTTGTGGTTGTCTGTAGAATACACTTTCTACATCTTACCAAGACTTCTGGATCGAGTTAGCTGAATGGAGGACAACGGGCCAGTATAGCCTATCGAGTCTCTATGAATCCTTGATTGTCGTTCCGTTCCGAGTAAGACGAATCAGTAATAGCATTCAAGTTTAACGAACATAACACATACATATAACATAACTATGTATTAATATATTTCTTTTTTGATAATAATTACCCATTTTATTTTAGTCTAAACAAACAGAAATTCAAACACTTAATGAAACATTAACTAATACACAAAATTTATTACATGAAAGTCGTAATCAAGAAATTTTAGAAAAATTAAAAGTTCAAACTGTTGAAGCACATTCAAAAGAATTAGTTGAATGGGAAAAAGAAAAATTCGAATTATGGAAAATTAAAATGAATGAATTAAAAGATGAAAAAGATTCATTTATTGAAACAATGAAACAAGAATTACAAGAACAAAAAGATCTTACAAAATTTTATCAAGATAAAATGAAAACTATTCAAAAAGTAAATTATGTTTTTTGTTGTAATATTCAATTCTTTAGTCAAATATTCATATATTCATTTAATATAATCGATACTACATTGTTGCGAATTTATATAACGGCATTAAATTCATGTGTTTGTTTAGCTGAAGTGATTCTAGTTAACAATTAAAAGATCGATTCAAGTTAGATATATACACCGTTGGATGCCGGCTCAGTTGTCTAGAGGTTAATCGTCCACCCGTAAGACCGAAGTTCCTGGGTTCGAGTCCTGCCTGCAGGATTGTGGATTCGCACTGCTGAGAATGAAATGGCCGTACAGTGCTTCCAGGTTTTTAATAGTGATTTAGTTTACATCGACTTGCTAATTCAAGTTTGAAAAATAAAAGATATCTTTTTACTATTAATGGTACGAACAAGTCTTATTTTAGGGTTATGTACGATGTCATAATATTTTAGTATTGTTATTTATTATCTTATACAACTTGCAAATGATTCAGTACAAGAATATAAAGATGAATTTCATTTTTGAAATTATTCCATCAAATGAAAGTTTATTAAGTTCACTTAAAAACAATCTAAAAGTTGAAATTATACTAAAAAATAACAGTAAGTTTGCGAGTACAATGGAAAGTGCATACAATTAACTTACGGTTGGATCCGTGTATGTATATCAAATGTATAGTTCTGTAGTAGCTGTGCTTCGTTAACCAATCACCCTCGTAACCGTTATCATTTAATCCTCAACGGTGTTTGAAATCAGAAGGTAAAGAGAAGCGGCGACTACAGTTTTATTAGCAGATAACTCAGACCACAAAGCAGAGAGGCGAATGAGTGAGTCAGCGAGCCGAAAGAGTATGTAGGAATAAATGTAAGCAATGTTCAAGCATACATATTTCATACAAGCACAATAATAATAATGGTACAACGATATAGATAAGTTGTTATTAGTACGGATGACTCTGTCAGTTAAATAAGTTAACAAGAGGGCTTAACCGAATTAAGTGTGAACAAACTCAGTTGCACGTGATCTGCTATAGTTCTTCATATTTTCATACTGGTGATCTATAAAATTCTGAAACTTAACAAATAAACAAATTTATATAATTAATGATGAAGCGAATTAAACAATTGATTCTTAGAAATATACCTTAATTTCCTATTTTACGTTAAGTTTAGACAATAGTTTAGCACATTTAATTTCTAATTATATATGAAAGACAATCGATATTTTTTTCGTTAAACGTTTGTAATGCAAATGTGAAAATGGTATATTTTCATTTGTTCAAAGTAAAATGTACGTTCCATCATTAATAATGTATGATATTTTTTTGTAGAGTAGATGTCTAATAAGAATTCTCTTGATCCCACTTTTACTTGGTTTCACTCGGAAAGTAGCCTTCTGGTAATTGATTTATAAATTCACATTAGTACCTTTTCTTCTTCTAAAATACTCACGGTCTCTTCCTAACTTTATTTTTGTTATAGAGGTTTTTCATTAGTTTGGTAATGTATTAATATACTACATTTTCCAAAGATATTTCCATCATATTTCTGTGTAATAAATATTTTCCAGATAAATATTGCTTGATAAATCAAACAAATCTTCTGATCAAGATTTTACTTTTTATTCTACATTAATTCGACATTAAAAAAAGGAAATATGGTGTTAGTACTTAGAATGCTCATTACTATTATCAAAATATGTTACTAAAATAGATTATTCATACTACAATGAAAGTATGTTTGTTGGTTTAAATTTTCAAACCATTTTCTAAGAATAAAATAAACCATGAGTCATCATGGAAAACCTGAAAGCACTGGACGGTCATTTCGTCCTAGTATGGAACTCCTCAACAGTGCCCATCCACAATCAGCTTACTGAAGACAACGGTGTACGGTGGCGCAATTTCGTGGATTGGTTGAAGTTAAACATTAACACCGTTGGATGTCGGCTCAGTGGTCTAATGTTTAAGCGCTCGCACGCGAGACTGATAGGCCCTGGGTTCGAATCTCGCGGGGGGGCGGGATCATGGATGCGCACTGCTGAGGAAACCAGTACTAGGACGAAACAGTCGTCCAGTGCTTCCAGGTTTTTCATGGTGGTCTAGTTTCAATCGACTCATGATTTCAACTATTGGAATCTCTAAAATATCCACAATACCCCTTACTGATAATAAACTAAACGATAAGAAAATTTCAAAACAAAAAAAGAAACTGATAGGCCATAAAAAGAAGTATTGGTCTTTTCATTACTTACTTATTCGGTTTTGAACTCCATATAATTCTATCACACTAAATGAACTTTGAATAGGTGAACACTTTAAAATTTGAAATTATACTTGTAGATTTATTACTCATATAATGGGATTAAAAAGTAAAATTAGATTCTCTTACTCATGGTGATTGTTGTTCAGCATTACAGCCGTTTTCAATTCAATGTGATAGTTACTCAGTTTAGCATTCAGTTTGGTTTTCCCAGTGTGATATTTTATTCGTTATAACATTAATTTATTTCAGTGTCACGTTTATTCAACATACAATATTCTTGTATTGAATTAACATCAATTATGTTTAGTACGAAATGTAGCATGTGGTTTGTTATAACCCTAGGTATTTTTTCATATATGTGATGTTATTTTAATTAATAATCAAAATCAATGTACAAACAGTACATAAATGAGTGTATTTTTGACTCTGGTCATCGTCGTTATGTTTTGAGTTTAATAAATCTTCCCCTATATCAGTCTTGGTGTTCACACTTCGCGTCGTGAGAATTTCTGTGGTTCCTCTTTTTTTTCTTTCAAGTATAAGTTATAATTGATATAACAAACTGGTAACGTAGTCATAACAATCACATATTAGTGATTCATTTTTAGATATAAGTAAATATTTTGCACTGCTGATACATAGGTGAGAACTGTCAATCAATAGAAAAAATTAACAAACCGTTCTTGTATTGTATCTATTCCTTTTTTTATTTAGGAGTCAGATACATATCAAACTGAATTAGAACGAAAAATAATTACATTAGAAAATCAAATAGAAACATTAAAAATGAAACATGAAATTGATATGAGTGAGATTCAACAAGTCTATAATCAAGTATGTATTTATCTTTATTTATAATTATGGGTAATAAATAATAAAATGAGATTAGGAATAGATGATAATTTTCAAACAATAAACTGAAATTATCATTTCTGAATATTTGGACTACACTAACTAATTTTGCTAGATCTCCTTTTTGTATAGCAAATTTGTATTGCAATTTTTTGGCCTCAAAATTAGTTTCTGTATAAGAATTCAACATTAAGTAACAAATATGAAGATTATTGATTCAGATTCAAATAAATTATCAAGGCCATTGACAGTTTTGATCGAGCTGTCTGTAGATTGAAGATTATGTATTCAAAATACTATGATAGTACTTAAACTAATACTTATAAACCACTATTTTATTACCAAGCGCCGGAACAGTCGACCTGAAGATATAAAACAGGTACGATGTTCCAGCCGCGTCAAGGTTGGTCAAGTATTATCCAGTGAAGTCTATTAGGTTTTCTGTAAATGGTTTACGCTTCTGAAGGTTGATAAACTCACCGCGTAGATGTAATTTTGTGAAAAAATCTATGCCCTCAGATCTTGGCGCGCGAGCGTTGCACCAGGGGCAAATGTAATCTACACACATACTGGTAACACATACGTTTTCACCCATGCATTCCTTAGTATACACATAGGTTTATTTATACTGTAAGCAAATACACTTTACATGCACACCGACAGCACTCACTAATGCCGTAACATACATTTTGATATATTCACCCACCTGGGAGGGTTGATGGTCATCTCTTCCTTCGAATGTATTTGATATAGCTGACTGTCACTTACGCACTACATTTATAAATGTTTTCGCCTTTGCACTTCATCACATACACAAAATCATAGGCACTCTTCCAGGAAGGATTGACAGTCACCTCTCCTTGGTATATACTGCCATATTTTTTATTATGTCTTCGACCTGAAGGATTAGGCGTCTGATTTCATTAGATATAAAGCAGACATTTTTCAGCTTACGTTCCAAGTGCTAACTCACTCATGTACCTTTTGCATACACCTACACACATAAACCACACAAGTCGAGGCTTATACAATTCACATACATGAGCACACACATCGAGAAGCCCACAGGTTTTTAAGTGAGCCTTGAAGAATGGAACCCAGGTGATCCGGTTTACAGTAGAGTGGTGGATTAGTCCTGTCTTCTTCGACCGCCGAAGTTAGCGAGCAAGGTTACCTCTACCACCCAGCAGAGCCACAAGGAGACCTTGGGTATGATTTTGCTGCTATAAGGCAGGTAATTGTTCGTAAACCCTACTTAATTGGGTGAAATATTATGCTATATTTTTCTGAGGACCTGATCAAATGAAGAATGATGATTTACATATCATAGTGACTCAGCTGCATTTGAGATTTATTTGGCAACTGAATCACAACATTTCGTCGAGAGACATAAGAAGCTATGAAAAGAAGCCGACTATCTGAACTCAGTTAAAATATGGGATCTCTCGCAACTCTAATACCCACTGTATTGTTATAGACATAGAATAATGAATAAATATTCATTTGAATTACTTGTTTATCGTATGAATTAACTCAAAAGAATTCAAAAGAAAGTGAAATACATGTATATGTTTAGGCGAAATTCTGAAGAATTTTCGAAAATTAAAACTTTTGGATCTAAATGTTTCGTAATATTGTATCGGCTCCGTAAAATTCATCTAATCCATGTGACTGCTGAAAGAGACTACCGAAATTTGTCTTACTTGTTTCATACTACTCATAAGTATATAAATAATTTATTTGTTTAGACCATGCAAATAAAGGGGGAAATTTTTTTTATTCCTCTAATAAAATAAAATTATCCAGTGAGTCATGTTATTCCGTTTCAACACCAGATCTTTTGAAACCAACTTTTTCGGAATATTCGCTCAATAATTTGATCTGATAAGATTTGATAATCAAAGGAATTTTAACGACTACCGATTGAGTTCTTTTTAGTCAAATTTGGCATGGGATTTCTTAGAAAAAGTATATATATCCCAATCTAGATGGAGTCCCAATATCCCATCATAAGTCGAAATGTAGACATTTTGTGTCATTATGTATGATTGGTTTTACATTTGACTGAACAGTTAAATGTAGTGAATTTCAAAACTATACGATCCAAATATATTCTAATGAGTGATAACAGAATTTTTTGTGTAATATCACGCTGATAAATTGTGCGGTAGACTAGTCTTATGCTTATTATCTTAAAGTTAGTGTTTATGGTATTTCAGGAGTTCAGTTAGTAACAATGAAGTTTAATACAAGAAAATTTGAATGCGTCTATTATTATGACTTCAAACATCTTCCAACATATTGAATCTATCGATCATATCAAGCCATATATTTTACTCTGTCAACGAGTTTCTTTGTATCAATACAAAAATAGAATAGAGAATGTCAATAAAACACAATTATCTAAACTTTAGCGACTCAATGCATCATTCATGTGTGAGTACATTTTGAATTGGAAATTAATCCTAAGCTCTTTTAAATGAGAATACATCGGTCAGATATCATGATAAGTACTACTGCTGCCCACATTCTAATCTTTAATTTATGAGATAGAGGGCCGATGTAAGACACGAGTTGTTTTAAATTTAACGTTTAGTATACGTTATTATCTTTTCATTATTCATTTTCTTCTACGTATATTTACTTTTTTTTAGAAATTATCCAACATGGAATTACAACATTCTCGAGAAATTAAACAAGCTGTAGAAACTGAAAATGTAACTGTACAAAAGCAAGTACATGAAAAAAATCAAGCAGAAAAAGATAAAATATTAGAAGACTTAATCTCTTCATCAACACAGATTGCTTCAAAAATTGGAAATTTAGTCAATGATATCTATCATATTGTTGAATGGAATGTACAAAATTTATACAGTTTTCCCGATTTCACTTTGGATTTAGATGCACAAGTTATGTAAGTTGAGTTTTGTATTCATGGTATTTGATATCAGACTATGGAAAAACTCAAACTGTTTAAACTTTGTAAATAATTCAACATAACCAATGAATTTGAAAAAAATCTTGTCATTTAAAATGAAGCCTGAAAGTTTGAAAACACGCACACTGATTTCAGATTGTTTTTGTACTGCATTTTAAGTTATGCAGAAAATCAGGAGTACATATTACAGAACATAAATTCCTTTATTATTAGTGCTACAGAAATGTTGATTATTTATCAGTTTATAAATGTTTTCTGTAGAATCTCTTGGATGGTTCCAGTTTGAAGACCATGTTGAGCATAAAATCTTGAAATCAGTAGATGAGGGTTTTAAGAATTCGGTACAATTAAGATAACGCAATACAAGCAACCCACTTTACAAACCCCAAATCGTGAGATATCAACTTGTCAAATTCACCATCACTAAGGAAGTTTCTATTTCCATTACTTTCACAAGAGTCAAGTTATAACGCATAGTGTAAACCAAATGGCAAACAGATACTAGTAGTTAGCGAAGATTGAACTGGTTGTTATGCATTCAAAATAGACAAGTTGTCCTGAAAGAAGAACGTCTCAACAGATAGAGTACATATTATAGATTTAACAACAAACGGAGGAACGGAATACTGCAACAAGTAGTAAAATGCATCAGAATAGCAAATACATGTTCAAGTGTTTGTCTTTCACAGTACATCAAGTTAGTCAAGAGACGTGCATTACAGGTTCCACAATGGTTGATAATGAAATAAACTGTTGAGCATAACAGTCCCAAATAAACTGAATATTGGATAGAAAGTTAATAATGATTTTATCTTTGTGATATCCTAATGAGTGGAAAATTGTATTTCCAACGTTTCGTGACTTAATTTAAGTCACTTCTTCCGAGTAAATAAATAATCGAAGGAAGGAGACAATGGTAAGCTATGATATTGTACTTTAGCATTCCATCAGATAGATATCTGAACTTCGTTATTCGTTTGAAAGAAGAGGATAGTGCCCTATCTAGCAGATGTCCATTGAGCATTAGTTAATCCTGAAACCCCTTAATCTATGTTTGAATTCAACACTGTTCACTTTCAAAGGGACATTATGTAAACAAACGAATAGAGTAGCCATGGGATCTCCATGGTATCGCTTATTGTTATTAATTTATTTATGCCCCGTATGTAATCGTTTATTTTTGCCGGTATCATCAGATCACGCATCTGGTTCAGGTATGTAGATGAAAAATTCCTCGTTATTAAAAAGACTTTCTTTAGAAATCCCTCCAAACAGACAAACACTTTCTCAGAAAATATCAAATTCGCTTTCTAAAAGGAAGATGAGCATGGTAAATTACCATTCTCAGACTATCTAATTAAAAAGAATTTTAAATTTAACCACATACTGAAAACCGACACATTCAAATCAATAGGTCGATTTTAACTCTGCATATCCACTTGGCACAAGAATTTTGCTATCCCTGAGTCATTTCAGAAGACTAATCAAGATTGTTACTTCCAAAGTAGGCAAACTTAAAGAAAAAGATAATATAATAAGCATCCTACTATTTAGTTATTTTCCTAAGAATATTATAAAAAACATATTGCAGCAAAACTACCCTTCTATAATTACCGATTCAAATAAAAAATCTTGGATTGGTACAACGGGTCTTGGAAGCATACAAATTAGAGCTTTCTATTACATAACCAACACTTTAACGGACTCTTTAGTTGGAATAAAAGATATGATCTCCTTTACATACGCACAAAAGCGTGTCTTCAGATTAGACTTTGTCGATTGTGATACATTCTACATTAGAGAGTCTTCTCGGAAGATCTTGACTAGTGCCAAGGAACACCTAAGTCACACAAAAATACCTCCTAATAATTCTATAGAACTTAAAAATCCACAAGTTAGATCAGAGATAGAAGTACGTGGTGTGTTCAACAATAACCAGTAGAGGTAAAATGTTCGCGCGCTAGACTGAAGGTCCCAGGTTTGAGTCCTATTTATAGGATCGTGAATGAGCACTTCTAAATAGTTCCAGACTAGGACGAAACGGACGTCCAATGATTCTAGGTTTTCAATGCAGGTCTAGCTCAGATCAACATTTAATTTAAACTGTCATAATAACCAGATGGATATTTAAAAATATTAAAATAATTCAGAAAGGTTTTTTCAACTATAAAGAAAGGAGCGTAGCTGGATGAGGGTTTGACTATTCATTCAACCTGGACCTTATTTAAACAACCACATTTAGCCCATTTCTTTTTCCAAACAATCTGTAAAGACGCACTGCTTCATATTACGAATTTATACCTTCATCCACACAAAAAAGCACAGCGGTATATCACACGGAATCACCGTGATCAAAATAGCATGACAATGACATATTCAGACCTATTATGATTTTGATTGTAGTTAAAACATTCTGCATTGTTTCCTTCGTATTATTTAAACTTGTGTTAATTTTATTCCGGCTGTTTATTTGCTCTGGAAGTGACTTACATTAAGTTACGAGACGTCATAAATACAATTTCCTGCTCACTAGGATATCACAAAAACTTAATTATCATAAGCTATTGAATATTAATAAGTAGCATAAATTGGTAAAGAATGAAGCAAACAGCTTCAAATAAAGACATCAAAACCAATTTAAAATGCAATTATTTTTTTAAATTTTTGTCCTGGCAAATTTATTTCTTGATGTTTATTGTTCTGAATACACAATGAAAATTTTAGTTTATTTATGATAGTTCGTCTTCTATTGGATGTTGTTTAAGAATGAGATTGGTCAGTCTCTTATTAGCATATCTCCATCCCGCGCGGGTTGCCTCGATAGTCTTAAGTCATAAGCACTGTAAGCAGAGATAGGTAGTGGCTAAAAGTGAAATTCAGGATTCGCGTTTCGGCCTAGATTTAATTGCATCCGAGTTGATGTTCACCCAGGAACTCGAGCATAGTACCGTTTGTGTCAAACGTTATCGCGTCACGCACTTAGCTACTGACTCCAGACATCCAACCACACTCAGCTGATTAGTCACAAATGGGACGAAACGAGCGTTCTGGATTTCGCTGCTAGCCCCTATCCATATCTGTCTATCTATCATAGGTTTGGTTGCTTTACATCTCATATATCTGATCACAAAATCCTTAAAGAAAATTCAATACTCAAGCCATATGCATTCGAAAAATGTATACATATTGATGATTACTGAGAAGTAAACTACCTCATGTTTTTCCAATTAAATTCTGTTATCCTTAGTTGAGGAAGTTGGCTTGGATCCTACTAGGACTATTACTTGCTTCTGGTTGATAGATGCCAACTATCATGAAATATAATTCCAATGCTCCCTCCTGAGTGTTTTCCTTTTATAAAATTTTGAGAATTAGTTTAGCCAACATAATATAGTAAAAAAAATTTTACTTGTTCTATAAATTTCTTTCTTTCTGCAACTTATTTTTTGAAAGGCCAAACAAGGAAATTGAAATAGCAAATATAACAAAGAAATGGACTATAAATGATATTTCCATAGAAGGTGTAATGGAATCACTGATGAAACATGTAGATGAGTTAGCGAATAATTTGAGAAAGAATTCAATGGATATTTTAGCACAATTACAGCGACGTAAAGACGTATTGGTAACACAAATTAGAAGTGAATTAGATAGTGCTCACAGTGCGGTCAAACGTATTCAAGAACAAGCTGAAACCCAACAAGATGAACATAAAATGACGTTAAAGGTGCGATTATTTTTTATTTTAGTTTGAGTTACTTACTGCTTCCATAATTGTTTCAGGAACTCTTTATTTTAATAGTTGCGATCATCAGTCAGTTGAAGCTAGACCACCATGGAAATCCTGGAAGCACTGGACGGCCGTTTTGTCCTAGTATATATATATATAAGAAATTTAAGCCACATTTTCAACCAGTAGCATGTGTATCATTACCTGAAAAATAAAGCCAGATCTCAACCGATAGCGTACTCTTATCATTTGGCTAACATCTCATCAGTCCATTGTATTAGAAACAGGCTTGAATTATAGGCTTTATGTACCTAAAGTTATAGAAACAATCAATTGTAAATGTTGACTGCTAAGTAATTTCAACAATTTAGTTGATGATGTAAATTATTTGATGTAACATTGTCTTAAAGATATAAATTTAGTCATCAACTTTGGGTTTCTATTTTTAAGCTTTATTTAAATTGTTTTAGTTAAGAAAAACTTGTTAGGCTGAAATATGAATAAGGATAATATAGGTTTGTCTCAGGTTTTATGTAGTTATTCTATAAATAACTTCAATATGCATATATATATATATATAAAACTTCATTAAATAACAAGCTAAATCCAAAAAATTGTAATGTGTGATGAGACTATAATTAAGATAACTTATTGCATTATTCTACATTAGGGCAAGCCTACTCAGAAGTTTGCAACACTTATTTCCAAACTGATAAAACATTGAATTCAATCTACCGCTTATGGGTTTGATTGAACTGAATAGTTATGAATGCTTATCATATATAATGATCTACCACTATAAAATGGCTTACAAATTATTGTGGTGTTCAGTACAGGAAACGTCGGGTGGAAACACTGTAGCTATTTCCATATTAACTCCTTGTTTCTTTTTTTGATAAAACGAGCGACGAACATAGTAGAGCTTACGTATTTACATATTACGGATGGAAATAATCATCATAACCCCCATTTAAACATTAAAAACACGAAGTTTAGCAAAGGGATCTCTTTTCAAAGAATTTGTTGTCAAGCTGTATTTTGTTAAAGTATTAGTTCTGTGAGGACATATGAACAAGGAATAAAGATGATATGATGGAAAAATTGTAATACTAGATTACGTAATATGAACAATAACAATAAAAGATTGTATGTATATGTGTGTACAAATGTACATCTTGATAATAAATTCTATGAAAAGAGATCTCTTCGCTGAACATCATATTTTTAAAAATGATTATATCATATGAACTAGTATACAACCCCCGTTATTGTATATGGATGTCGAAAACACACGTGTTTCTGAACAATTGCAATCTAAATGAATTCCAAACAAATATCTATTGAAATATTGGACTTCTCACTGAAATGAAATTAATAGTATTGAATAAAGCCATCATTATTACATATTGAGGAAATATTATCTCGTTTATTTAAATTAGCACTATCGTAACCGAATTGAAGAGTTAGAAGATGAAGCAATAAGGAAAAAATTAATTGAACAATTGAAGCTAAAAGATGATGAGATTGAATGCTTGAAAAATGAAATACAACAATTACAACAAGAAATAAAAAAATCAACGATTGAAAGAAATAAACCAGATCATGAAGAAGCAAATGATAGGTAACTTTCCTTCTTCATCATCAATATATATATTTGTTGCAGTACTTGTATACTTAACTATATTGATAGAAAACATCAATTTCAGTAATTTATAAATAATGCAGTTCTTGGGATGAATTCGTTTCAGCTTACGATGTTATACGATACTTCAACACAGCAAGATAATAAATCAACAAGCTCATCAGCAAAAAATTATAAATAATAATATCCATTAATATGGAATGAAGAGGAATTTTAATTTAAAAATAAACAGATGAGATGGAATAATCAAATGTATGGAATGAGACTAAGGATAGAGAATAAATACAACTATCCGAATGTCAGAAATTCTGGGCCATGAAATCCCAACAAAACCAGATTACGGTATCGTGAGCCAAAAAAACGATATTCGCACCTACCAATATCAGCCATCCGAAAAGTCGTAGGTTTCATAGTCTGATAGAACGTCTCAGTGTTGCCAGTGTAATGCTTTTTAGAACCTAATTTCATAATAGCTAGCATAAGGTGACGGTGTACGTGTTGGTTAGATGTGTGTTACACATTTTCAACTATATCACTCAACAAAAGTTTGAATTTTTAAGTGACTTGTAATGACCATCTATGACTACATATAACCCAGAAATTGCTCGACTAATCAGAGTTTCCGACTTGAACGAATAATGCTTCAAAACACCTATAACAATCAACTTGTAACTTTCTACACAGTCTTAATAGACAGTTATGCTACAGAAATCACTTTTACTGTAAGGCTATATGTTAGTGATTAAGTTTAGTTAACCTAATGGGGGAATATTAAAAATATGTCCCTATCATGTATGAGTAGAGATCTGAAATACATATTAAGATGAGCAAAATGTCTATGCAGTGAAAACATGTAAATTTTAATTTAACATAATCTGTCTTCACATTCATTCTACATGATATATTTAGAAAGCATAAAGATCTTTCATCTATTCATCAATTATTATATTCACTAAATCATAATAAAAATGGTACAAATGATTTGGTCAGTCAACAACCAATCCGAATAATTACTGAACTAAAAGCACGGATTCAACGATTGAGAGAAGAAAATATGGCATTACGTCGGCTACTGTTACGTCGACCACTTGTACCGGTAAAGCAATCAGATCAAGAAAGTGAACAACGACCATTTTGTGTAAGTCAGTTTTAATTTAGGTAGTTATTTTCCAATTGTAGCATTATGGGTATCATATATATATGATTAGCTAACTTTTAATGAAAAACGAAAACTAATGCAAAAATCGTAATTGATATCACTATGAATCTATAGATGATTATTACGTTATATACAGATTCGTGTAATCGGTCTTGTCTAAATTTTTGGTAAGATAATGATAAAATACAGCTCCATCAACTGAATTGAGTGTGCTGATTCTCGGTCTTCGACTCAACTGTTGAAAGCCGAGATATTCGCTCATCACTCCACTATAAGTAATCGCTGATATAGTTAGTCTACCCTAATTTAGTAAACGGATTATGTACCGACAGTTTCTCTTTGATCTACTTTATAATAAGTAGGATTATCAGTGGTTTATAATAAAAACATACCACAAAAATCAGATGAATTTAAAATTTTGACCAAATTTCGAACAGAACTATTAGAGGGTTACAAACTACCACAATATCAGCCATTCCCGTTGAAGTTAAAGATGAACTTTATTGATATATATCGACAAGCATGAAACTCAGAGAGATATTCACACTGACTGCTGAAACATTTAATACTATTTGCAGTACAGAATGATTAGCCTGGTAACTGAATCACATTTACTAATATATAGATCAAATGTCAGGACTTATCATGAGTAGTAAGTAAAAGAATGGATGAAAAATAATCTACACCCATGTATAGACAATATCATTGTAGAGCAGTTTTAATAAATAGTCGCAAAACCAGTTGATGCATTAAATTATACACTACTTATAAAATAGTACATGGTTGAAACAGCACTAACAACTGTCGTCGAATTTCTGAAATTATATCCGAAGTCGCGATACCACAGCATAGAGGATACCTGACAAAGTTTATCCTATGGTTTTTTTAGGAGCCATAGCTAGTATGGTACAATTAAACCATTGAGATGGAATTTTCCGTGAATCTATCTGTTATTGAGAAGTAAACTATATGCAGCAATAGCTAAGTATAATAATTATGACGTCTGACTGACTGCTGAAGAGCCCCACACTGGTATGAAACGACCGTTCGGCGCTTCCAGGTCTTCAATGATGGTCTAACATTGATACGTTCATGATCTCAATCAAAACTTAACAATCTTTATAACCCTATAGTGATGAATAATAAATGTACAAATTCTAAGACAGTTTTTCTTTTACAGAAACCATCCGATGCACAATTCATGCAAAGACTGAAAAGTAAAGGAAACTCAGAAAGATTTATATCGAAATTTTAATCATTTACGAACATATTCATGAACATTTTGATATTATTACGATCATAATATTTCTTCAAATACTTTGGCTTGGAAAACTTAACCAAGATTATTAACATCGGTTTTTTTTCTTATGGCCGGTGAAAGATTCTTGTTTGATAGAATTTTGTTTAAACTTTAAGTAAACTGTTAACTTATTCACACTTATTTCTAGAGTGGATTTAAACGAAATAAAAATAAATCATCCTTTTGTTTACGATGAAGTTGTTATTTTTCGACGTCAGTATGATAATCGTTTCACAGTCAATCAGACTTGTTTAATACTAGTTTTCTCCATTAAACGATAGAGGATAAACAAATAATGCGATAGATAGAAAATAACCAAATATGTAGCGTTAAATGACAAAACAGATCAATCTCCAACATTAAACTAACATTTTTCAAATATATACATCCACATCTTTTAAGCAACATTATTGGATTACGAAGTTCGCCTGCATATTATTTAATAAGTTGAATCTTAGGGAAGAAATAAGATAAACAGTTATCAATAAATAGGAAATTATGGCATCTTTCAAAACGTCTGATGGTTAGACATGTATAAACCAACCTATTCTCCATGTGAATATAAATCATTGTGCGGAACAATGAGATGCTTATTACAAGTAACCAATTATTTGGTCAAGCAAATTTACTTTCATAGAGATCAAGGAATCACATGAAGGTTATTATTAGTTGTTTAAAAGGTAAATCCTTTTCAGAGAATTGGCTATTTTCAATAAACTACCTGGAATATAAATGTATATTCGGAATGATAATAGTTTTTCAGTATTCTTAGTCAACCACTTAATGAATAATATCTCCCTTTAACAAACTGAGTTTGCTGCTTTATTTAATATTTCTCATATTATTTGACTGCAGTCTTCTCAGTCATGTGGTTTCTATTTCGATCAATTATGTTAAACTGTAATTTTGCCTCGAAAACATAATAGTTATGTGTAGGTCGCGAGAAGTCAGTATTTATTGTTAACGTAGGCGTAAACCTATTTAAGAATGTTTCAGTAACACTTAATTTTATCTAATACTCGAATACGTTAGCAAAGGATGACAGATCTTGTAAGCAAAAAGTAGTAATAACAATTATCAGTTTATATGTAGAATATATCTGTACATAAAAATGAATATTCACAGATTGCTTTTATACACATGAAAGTATGTAAAAAGTATATACAAATGGTATATAGATTAGATTATAAACCATATTCTGCAAGCATGTTACGTTTGGCCAAATCAGACGGTTTTGTGCGGTTCACAGTTTGCTTCTTCGGGGTTTATCGAATGATAAAGCAGATGAATACCTGGTTTTTTTTTAAAATATTTTTCAAAGTGAAGTAAAAATATGAAGAGATTTTTTTATTCATGTAGATGAAACCACTTTAAATGAAATATTGTACAAAAAGAAACACTAAATTCTCGTAGAATATACTAACCCAAGTCCGTAACGTAGTGCGAATATGTATTATAAAGTTAGATTTCCTGACGTTTCGTGACTTAATGTAAGTCAATTGGATTAATTTTGATTTGGTTATTTATCTTCTGAAGAAGTGACTTACACTAAGTCACGAAACGTCAGAAAATCTAATTTTCTACTCATTGGGATATTACAAATATATAATTTATTTATAACAATCTACGCAATGCTCAATTTACTCGAAATTATCAAATCAAACTTTGGTAATGATACCTACATGTATTATAAAGCTTATAATTAAGGGTTTTCTATACAAACAATTTAGATTTTGACTATGTTGTCTTGATTTAGTTAGATATTATGTCTCAACACACTTTCACGCTGTCCGGCATAACACATTTACATACGCCATTTCCCTTATTAAAACATAAATACACTTCAAATGGTAATCTATTATTGATTCATATATACCAACAAAAGAATATTAATTGGTCAAATACATATAACCAAAACCATCTCTAAATGAGGAGTGCAAACTTTTCTACTCTGGACAATAGCACAATTCAGACAGAAATATCGACTGAATCTCTATAATCCCATGAAATGTTGATGTATAATATTAATTTGAAGTAATGAATTCAGCAATATACAAAGGTGCATAATTTTTCGAGACAATAAAAGTATTTTTTAAAGCGATCAGCCACTTCACTTGGGTTGAGCACGGTCCTACGTAACCGTCAAGGCAATGTGGGATTGAATCTCGAAAGGCTCTTAACTGGCATGCTACGAAGGTACGAATCGTAGAATAAGTGTTCGATCAATGCATTATTATGTGAAGATTTACAGCAGTTTATGTTTACTTCAACTTACTTTGGTTTTTGTGGTACTATGTCATCTTCATTCGAGCTATCAAACCCCCGTTTCTTTCCTGTAAAATTCTTCTGCCTATCAGCCTTAACAAAACGACCTCTTACACGAGAAGCGACATCGGATGGTTTCTTTTGTAGACAGAATGCTCTAGCAACATGCCCTAGGTGAAGACGTTTGAAAGTGAATATAGGTCGTAAGTCACCCGAAAAACTTGCATAAGAACGTAGAAATGATATATAGGCTAATTCTGAAAGTGATGTCAAAGTGTCATCATTGTCTACAGCATGAAGAAACAAATGAAACAGCTGACTAGTTCCCTCTTCAACTGTTGTACAGTCATCTGGCTAAATAAAATAAAGGTAGGATAAAGAGGTAGTTTACTGTCATCGTTCAACAAAATTTGCTTAAAGAAATAAAGTCTAGAATAACAAATAATATATAATTAATTTAGCTAAACATGAAAATATTAAAATGGGAATGTTATAATTTGTCGTTTGAATGCTTATTGTCTTGGCTCTTTTAATGCTACTTTTTGTATCTGGTCGTCGTTGATTGTTATGTCGGAAACGCTTATCACTTATACTCGGAACGAGGGACCTCTACAGGAAAGATATGACACAAAATCAATTTTTTATACGAAAATATTTTGATTGAACCTCTGTGTAAGAAGATCGGGTTTGGAAATATTTAATCGAGAGTTTTATGCTCACAAAGTTTCATACAAACTACTTCAGTTGCTTATAAAAGCCTATTTTCCAACAACATTATTAGATGTAAAATATTACTTCATATATTTATTAAAATCGAAATAACTTATGCCCAAATAAGTTGATTTTTCTGTAAGGAGAAATTCAGTGGCATTTTTGTGGCATCTAATGAAGGCAATGGTTGCAATAATCTTAGTGATTTCAATAACACCGCTGATTTCAGTGGCGTTTATATATTTAAGTTAGACATAATGTTAACTAGCAAACTCGCTTTATTGATCAAACCAAATATAAATATGTCCCTTAGAAGTCTAATAAAAATGTAAGTAATGGCGGGCTCCTCGTTCCTTAGAAAAGGGAGCTAAACATTGGCTGGTAGGATTTGCTTACTATTTGGCCGGTGTTTGATTGGCCCACTAAATCGGAGTCATAAAAGCAGTTTACTTTAATACATAAATAAATCCAAAGTAGATATGAAAACATACCCTTAGCTTCCCAGGATGCTTAGTATTCTGTAAATGAAAAAGAACGGTCTGAAGTAGATCAGGCAAAATTATTTCTTTCATTTCAATTCCAACTTTTGATTTTAAGAGGTTCATAAATTCAGTTTCTCCAGGTTCTAGGAAAAGCAATGCTTTACCATGACCCCCAGCTCGTGCAGTGCGTCCAACACGATGTACATAATCGATAGGACCTCCCGTTACATGGTATTGTACAACCCAAGCAACTGATGCTAAATCCAAACCTCGACTTGCAACATCTGTAGTGATTAGAACACCAGCTTGACTAGATGAAAAGCTACTGAAAGCTAATTCACGTTCCTTAAAATAATAACGGTAAATTAAGAGAATAGGCATGTAAATTGTAAGCAAAAAACATTGAGAACAGAACTATGATAAATACCACTCTTTGTAGTCAGTGAACGACAAATACCAACAGGAGATTCGATCGATACATCCCTTCAAAGCACTGGGTTTTTAAAGACAATATTTATAATGACAACTTTTCTTAAGGTATACCTTCTTAAAAACTTAAATGAGGTGGGTTGTAACCACTGCAAAACTCAAAATAGTGAGTTAGATTTTATAACTTTTATTTTTCTCATTTGTGTTACATCTCCCTTTTTATGAACTCATATTGGTTTTATTATATGCAATCATTCTTTGTTGTTCACTTGCTCATGATGTAAGTCGTCGTATACTGAATAGTTACTAAATCGTGTAAGATTAACTGTCATTTTTATTTCCTTAACCTATACAAAAGCTCTTGAATATGAATAACTAATAGCCAATACAGTGAAAATGATTTAAAAAATTGTCACTAAAGACTACATAACCTGTGAAGGCGTTTAAAAAGTTTACATAATTCTTACTTTATGTTCCATGCTTCCATGAAGCCGGTAAATCGACAGATTCATGACAGGTATATTAGAAATAAGCTCCTCAGATTCATCGCATAATACTGATTTGAATAGGTGATAATGAAAATCCACACAATCCTGAGTTGCCATAAAAACGATTAGCTTCCCTCCATTTTCATGATACTGGAAAAAGAAATAAATTTACTAAAGAATATGGCACAGATTTGAAGATTACATGTAGGCACATCAATTTATATAACTATATAAGTATGGTTAAATCAAATAATTATAGAATCGCATTGATTACGAATGTATTGGGTATTACTAAATTGATATTAACATTTAGGTATTCCCTATGACCATTCGAAAATTCGCTACGAAGATCCGTCTAGTTTGATTACTTCGAAGGCAAGGACAACTTAAGTTTTACGGGTGATCTCCATTCATTAACTAAATAAGTTGAGTAAATTAATTTCTAGTGGTAAGCTTAACGAGATAACTCCATTCATATTAACAGATGACAAGTTTATTGCCATTTTATTGACAGTTGAAGTATGTAAAACCGAGGTATTTGAATACATTGCTTGACGGGTACCAAAGATGCTGTTGTTTGAAACCTTTACATAAGGAAATATTGTTATTAACAATTAAGACCCAATAAAAAAATATTTTTAGTACCGACTTGTTCCATTTTCATGTTTTCGTGTTAAAAATAGAATTTATAGAAACAACCTTTCAGAAAAAACACGATGCTGTCACTGCATTCCGGTTTAGTAGACAATAGAAACTTATTTCTGTACAGTATATTGAGGAAAGAAATCTCACACCAGGATGTGAGCTATTCATTTTGAAATGGACAT